GAGTTTATAGGCTTCAGGCATAGAAACAAAAAGCAGTTACCACCATAAAAGAAAAATATTTTTTGATACTCTTTGCAGCATGAATTTCTATTCCTCATATATATTTATATTCTTGGTATTCAGCACAAGCTTATGGTATGACCAGTATGTGCTCCTGCAGTTTGAATTATTGACTTTGCTGCCCAAACATCAGCCAACATCAGACCCTCACGAATCACTGATGCACGAGCAAATATTCATCTGCCCTGGACTTTGCACACCCTTTATACAAAGTGGGAAGAAGGACAAGTTCCCCTGGCAGGCCGGGAAAAAAAGAAAATAAGGAGATATATATAGCAGCAGCTGTTCAAAGACTTCAGGAGGCTTGGCATGTGCCCATATGCCCAGCAGAGGTAGCGGACAGTAGAAATGAGACCATTTATCACGTGGACACACAGCTCATCACAAGGGAGCTGCCACCGAGCACGGCTTAAACTGCTCCTCCAAAACAAGAAGTCGCTAAACAAACATTAACTAAAGTTGCTGAAATGATGAATCTCTCTGGCAGATTGTGTACCCCCATGGGATAATTCAGCTTTGGCTACGTGGGCACACAAAAAATCCACCAGCAGCCTGCACTTGTTTGCAAAAGCAAAACCTTCAAGTCAGTGAAAATCAGAGCCTGTTGCACACCCTGAGGACTTGTCAGCACACAAGTGATTCACAGGAAACAGCCCAGCTGCACTCACCTGCCTTCGCTCCTGCCACAGTAAAAACCAAATCCCAGGAACAAACCCCCTCTCCTTTCCCAGCAAAATTGCCTCAGTGCATTGAGAGTGTGTAGAGCCCACAAGGCAGACCTGGCTTAGCTCTTTCCACGGAGCTGCCGTCACTTAAGAGCATAAATGCCTGGTTGCACAGCACTAAACCCCAACCTACACAGGCAGGACACAAAGTTCAGAAGCTTCCAGGGAACCATCCTATTGCCCCACCACATACTGGCTCACCCTTACTGTCCTAAGGAAATAAGAAGGGGGTTGTTGTCTTGCAAAAAAACACAAAAAATAAATAAAACCTATGGGCTACATCATCTTTTTGAGCAAGAATACATACTGCAGAAGGACCATCTGATCTGAGCCCGTGCTGCTGAGTGACTATCTCCTATTTTCTTTCCTAGATTAACACAACAGTTCCTATACTATTAGGACCAAGCACTTTATTCCCAGCTTGAACTCATTCACCTTCAGCACCCAGTCACTGGTCTGGTATTGACTTACTGTTTATCTTAACAAGTCGTCCAGAACAAGTCACCTGAGCTCCTCTGGTTGCTCATATTAAGCACTTCAGTGTTTGGGTCACTCTCCCAGTGCGCTCTTAGACCTCCCCTGTCACACATGCAGGGACACAAGAGGTAGGGACAGGACTCCGGGGACGGCTCATTCCCCACTAGCCACCTAAAAAAGCTGCTCCTCAGCCTGGGAAAGGGGTGTGGAGGAGAGCTGAGCAGGAGGACCAGAGCCTGGGAAATCACAGCCCCGGCTCCGGGCGGTTCGTCCTCATGCCGGGAGCTCCTGGGGGCTGCTGCCACCTAGAGATGCTCACAGAGCCAGGCTGCGGGCTGGCCACTCTGCAAGCCCCACCATCACCGCCCAGGAAAGGCTCAGCTCCCAGCCCAGCAGCTCCCCGGCTCTGGCCAGTGACCCACGGAAAGGTGTTTCTCCAAAAAAGCCTTTGGAAGATGTGCACGCTCTGGATCACAGGCTGCGCTTCCAGATACAGGGCGAGTCAACGTGCTGCGGTTTGCTTAAATTTAATTGAAAAACAAAACAACAAAAAACCCAACCAAACTAAAACCTCCTGAAAACTAGAATAAAACAGTTAATTCCATTAAGGTGTGTGGCTAATGCCCTGCTAGAATACTGAGGGCACATTTCAGAACAACTTGACCTTACGGTCAGGAGTGCAATGCAGCACTTGGGGCTCAGCCAGGAGCACCCACAGGGTGCTGGGCCCTTTGTTGCCATGGACCAAACATGCCTTTCTTTGCTTCCCATCCCACTTCGCTGCCGTGCAGGCTCAGGAGAAAGGCTTTCCCCTTCATGAGCTGCTACTGCCAAGTCTCATTTGCTTTACTCATAAGGCATGTATTTCAGGTCCTTATTATTACTGTTTTCATGTTAATTACAAGCACAGCTCCTAGTGCCAAATTCCATACACATAAACATCAATTACCATCTCTTTTTTTAAAAGCGAAGTCACAACTCAGTCACTGGGGCACGCAGCAGTGCCGCTCTCAGCAGGGCAGGTGCAGGCACGGAGCCTGTGTGGTGCAGCCCCGTGCTGGAGCTGCCCCAGGATCCCCGGGGATGCCCCAAGAGCGGCACCAGAACCAGGCTCCTCTGCCCTGCAGCAGCGCTGGCTCACAGTGCTCTCAGGGGACAGGCAGGGACAGCAGCAGGCTGCCCTGCCCACCATGCAGAGATGTCCCTGCAGACACCTGAAGGGCTGTGTGGCACGGGAGGCACAGCCAGGACGTGCTGAGCCCACAGCAGCGCCCGCTCCCCTTTGGTGAGAAGGCCCAGACAGAGCGACAGAGAACCCTCGTGCAAGGGCCAGGTTCTCTGATGGCAGTGACGGGCTGAAACTCCCAGGCAATATTTATCGTGCCTTTGGAAAGGCACTCCAAGCTCAGCCTAATTTTAACCATCAAATAGACATCGTGGCAGAATAAATGGGAGAGGTGCCAAGGAGGGCTGTAGCAAAGGAAAGGAGCTGCATCTCTCTGAAGGCGTGTAGCATGTCCCATCCGACACGGCCCAGAGAGGAGTAAAGGCATGAAATTAAAGACTGCCCATACATCAGCCTGAGCATGCTTCTCACTGGGAAAAAAAAAAAAAATTTTTTTTTTTTTTTAAATGGAAATTTAAAAAAAAAAAAAAAACTGAAAAGATATTTGAAGTACAATTATTCTCAGAACAGCTGAATAGTGAATACTTCAAACAGGACTAAGTTAATTTGGCTGTAATTATTTAACAACTCACCAACCCCACATATCAGAAAATGGAGTTAATTTATCAGCTATTTTCAAGCAGAACAAAGACTCGCCAGCTTCCAGGTAACAGCCCAAGCTGTTTGGCTCACGTGACCCCGCCTGAGCTGTGCACTGCAAACATTATATGCCCAAGCACGGAGACAGAAGAAATCAGAAAACCCCAACCTGTTTACATATTTACACACAGGATAATGAAATCAAAAGTTTGGCCAAGAGCTTGCTTGCACGAGCAACGGCATCACCATCTCTCTCGATGCACTGAAAATGAAGGCAGCGGCCAGAGCACCGTCTTATTGCCCCCCAAAAGCCAAGAGAGCCCAAATTCCGGGGGATCCTAAACACTTGCAAATCATGGCTCCCTGTCCAGCCTGCCCTGCTATTCCAGCAAGCACCAAGTAGCGAGGCTCAATCATTACTAGCTGCCAGTGCCCACAGCAGTGCCTGAACCTCTCCAAATAGGAAATGTCACTCCAACCCCTCTATTTTAATAAACCGATTTTCTGTTTTGCACAGTGCAGGGCACAGAGGCTTTTCAGCAGCACCGATCCAGGAGGCTTCCCCAGAGAAGACAGGAAGGCAGGCGAGCAACCCTGGACCGATGCTTTTTATTTTCACTGGGGTATAAATCCAGCAATGAAGGGTCTTTGTGATCGTCCACGCCAACAGCCCGGTCCGAGCGGTGGGAAGGATTGCTGGAGAGCACGGGAGCATCCCAGTGGGGACGGCTGCTGCCCAAAACCGGGGCACAGGCTACGGGGAAAGTGTGAGACAGAAAAGTATCAAGTGAGGCAAAGCGGCTGCCTGTAAACAGGGAGGCAGGCAAAAAGATACAGAGAAGCAGCGCCTGTGAAACGAGGAGTGCCATTCTTCTTCAGCGGGGATTTACCGATTCAAACCGCAGGAAGAGAATATACAAAAGAAATCAGCAGCTCAGCATTTCACCCCTCCCGATTTCGAGGGTTAGGAAACAATCACACAGCGAAAAAGTAAACTGTGTCCCAAGATCAAAAACCGCCTTCAAAGCCCAGTCAGACAGGCGAAGCCAGGACACGCTCCTTTCGCTTCTCACAAAACGCATCCTTCCTTCTCTCTGTTACATAAAGCCCCAAAATATAAACTAAATTGTGACAACGAGGAGCTGTTGCACCAATGCCGCCCAAACAGCATAAATTTTGCATCACCGGGGAGGGAAGGGAGGGAAAAAAAAAAAAAAAAAAAAAAAAAAAAAAAAAAAAAAAAAAAAAAAAAAAAAAAAAAGAAAAAAAAAGAAAGAAAAAGAAAAAAAAGCGAAGTTACAAAGACTGAAGAAATTTCCTTTTAATGTTTTATTCACAGCAAAGGGGCGATGCAGCGGGGGGCGATTCCCCGTGCCCTCCCCGGGCGACTGAGCCGGCACATCTCGTACTACGGCGGCAGAAAGCGCTGCTCGGATGCCAAGAGGAAAACAAAATTCAAGCCAGCGCTGCAAGTTTCCCTCCAGAAAGTTAAAAATTCCGGGCAGACCCTGCCGGAGGAAGAAGCGCCGATTCCAGCGTTAATCTCCAAGCCGCCCGCTCGCCCTCCCCCGAGCGCAGACAGCTCGGCGCGGTGTTTGCGCCGCGGGGCCGGACGCGCGGGTGTGCGGGGCACGAGCGGCGCCCCGGCCGCCCGGCGCTCCGCGATGCCAAGTCCGGGAGCGCGGCCCCGTCGGGACGGCGGCGGCACCTGCGGGGACACGAACGGCGCCCGGCGGCGAGGGCGGCCCCGGGGCCGGGCGGGGACAGCGAGCGGGACGCGGAGCGCTGCTGCGCGGCGGATCCGCGACCGCCGGCCCCGCTCCGCTTCCCGCGGGGGACTGTCGCCCTCTGGCCGCCGCCGCTCCGCGGGACCCGCACGAACTCCCGCACCCCGCGCCGGGCACCGGGACGCGGAGAAGTTGTCGGGAAGGCGCCGCTCCGGCCGCTGCCGACGGACGCGGCCGCTCACCCACCTGCCTGCGCCGCCGCGGCGGCCCGCGGGGCCCCGGCCGCCGCCGCCAGCACGCAGCAGCTCCACCACAGCAGCCCCCCGGCCGCCGCCGGCATCGCGCCGCCGCCGCTGCCTCAGCGCCGCCGCTGCCCGGCCGCCGCCATCCCCCGCGCAGCCTCCGCGCTGCCGCCGCCGGCTCCCAAAAGTTGCCGCCGCCGAGCCGCCGCCCCCAGCGCCGCCCCTCCGCGGGCGCGCCGCGGCGCCGACGGGGCGGCCGCGCCGCTGCCGGGCCGCGGGGCGCTGCGCCGCCAGCACGCGCGGAGCGGAGCGGCGGGAGCGCGGCGAGGACGAGGAGGAGGAGGAGGAGGAGGAAGGAGCGAGGGGGTGAGGGAGGAGGGGCGGCGGGCCGGAGCGAGGGGCGGGCGGGGCCGGCGCCGCGCGGGACCGCCCCGCGCCCCCCCCTCCCCACGCGGACGCTCCGCACCTGCGGAGCCGCGCGCCCGTGCCCGCGCGCCCGGCCTGAGGGGCGGCCCCGAGGAGGCGGCACCGGGAGCGACCCTGCCCCGGGCGGGCCCGGGACACCTCCCGACACAGCCCCGAAACGGCAGCGGCCCCAGCCGAGCCCGTCCCGCCGGCGGCCGCGGCCGAAACGTGAAGAGCATCCTGGGCAGCGTGAAGCTCTCCGCCGTGGGAGCCCCCGTGCACCTGATCCGGACAAGGACAGGGCGTGTCACTCTCCTCCCTGGGTTCTGCCCCGAACACCCGCTCCCCTGAGTGCTCGCAGCCGCTCATGCGGCCATGAGCGCCCCAGCGGCGCTCTCAGCACCAAGGCGAGTGCAGGGCTTCCCAGCGCCCAGCCCAGGCAGCTGGGGAGCTTTAGGGTGGAAGGGCTGCAAGGGACGGAGAGAGGTTTTCAGGGCAGCAGGGCGGGTCGGCAGCACCTCGGAGATCACTCTTCACTGTGCTGCTGGGTGGACTTGGCACTGAAGTAGCTGATGAGAGCTGCGTTTTCCAGCCTGCCTGCAGCTCTGAGGGGCACAGAGGTGTAATGGCATCTCCCACCAATGCACTCCCCATCCTGATGTCCCCTGCCAGCCTGGTGGCACCTCCTAGATGCTCTGGCGACAGCTGCAGTGCCAGGGTCCTGCAAGCATCAGCCCAGAACCTCCCCTCACCACCACCCACCCCAGCACAAGGGTGAAATGCCAACACAGACATCCCCCCTAACAGATCCTGGGGAACAGCGTCTCATCAAGACTTGTCTTGGAAAGACAGACACTGAAAATCTCAACATCTCATCACAGGTGGGAGACAGCAGCTGCCATTTATCACTCTTGAGGAGTTGATTGGCATCCTCAGTCGTAACTGAATTCTGCGAGCGCACAAGAGAAAAACACCTTCAGTTCTTCACTTCATGTCCCCAAAATGCATGCCCTAGGTTTTGAAGCCTGCTTACCCCGATCAAGCCCTCCTGGAAACACGAAGGAACTCTCCTTATGCCTGTCCAGCTCTTCTGTGCAGTACTTCCCGGAGTGACTTCCCAGTGATGCTAACAGCTCTACCTGGCACCCCCAAGCAGTTAAGGTGGAAGACTGCAGCAGCAAGTGCCTTGCCTCCAACCAGCTCCAGTGGAATGGTTTTCCCATAGGAATTACCCTCAGAGGAATAACCCCAGTCCCTCCAGCCAAACTGCCTCCTTTCCAGGGAAGCCAGAGGCTTGCATGCCTTTAAGAAAAAGAAAAATATCTCCAAATCAAGGTAGTATTTCAAGTGGAATTATTGCTCTTTGGCCAAAGATCTGGAAGTTTAGCTGGAACTTACTAGGCAGGCCTTGCAGAAAGGAGGCTGCAAAGAAGGAGGTGTTGTTGCCCTTGGTGCTGCATCCCCCTGCCTGCATCAGCGGTGGCCAAGGGGCCATGAAACTGGCAGGCAGAGGCAGGTGAAAGAAAAGGCAGCCAGGAAGCAGAGCCCTGACATGCAGGGTCTTCAGCCTTTCTTAGGTGTTCCCTGAGAACACCACATGGGAGAGGCCAGCAGGAGAGGCTGGGAGCCAGCCCGTGCCCTTGCTGAGCAGATTAGCAGCAGTGCTGATCATCCCTCCTTGCCACCCCCAGGAAAGAAGCGTGATCCCTGCCTGGCGCAGAAATGGATCCAGCGAGAGGCTGTGAGGCGAAACTCGCTCAAATATTGAACTAGAAAAATTTTGCTCGATCTGCCTCTCAGTAAACAGTGACTAATTGCTCTGGCTGGAGTTGCTGTACCTTCTAGATTGGAAGGTGCAGATGGAACAACGATAGTGAAGGCTCCTTACCTGACACCGGCTGTACATTAATCACAAATGTTTGCTATGCAAATCTTGTCATACAAAGCAATTATTGCTGTTCCCATACTGACCTCATGTTTATTTATTACATGAGCTCTTTATTGGAACCTTGTCTGGTCTCTCTTCCCATATAAGCGTATTAGTATGTGGCTTCCAAAGGCACCCAGCTGAGAAATTGTAGATTTATTTGTGGCGTTGGAGGGATGGCACACGACACGCTGACTGCAATGCAGAGCTGAGAGGCTCAGCTCTTACACCAGTGGCTCTTCATGCAAAATATTCTCACCCTGAGGTCTCTTGCTGGGATGAAGGACACTTTCTAACCGCACAGGGCTGTGACTCTGGGTTTGCTCTGACGCTGCAGTATTAACCGATGGTTAATGGAGACTGTCAGCCCGAGGAGCCGCACAATAAAACTCTGCTTGGGCTTCTTTAGGATCCGCTCAGTAAAAGTAAAATTTTACACAGTGCTTCGTCCTTGGCTTTGTCACCTTTGCCTACCTCCAGAATGATGAGTTGCAAATAGATTTAACTGTGCCACCAAGTAAGTTGCAAGTGCGCTTTTGAACGTGGTGGTGTTTGGGTAGCTGGAGGGATGGGTGTCTTTAAGCACCAAATATTCTCTTACCAGAGGAGTTTTCTCCATGTGATTTAATATCGGGCAACACTGGCATCCGGTGGGCAGAGAGTTTCCTCCTTAACAGCTTGTGGCAGCTCACTCCCTTGATTTTGTCCTATGGCTTCTCAAGATGATCATTAAATGCAATTTCTACATTAATCTGGGCTTTGTTTTCCCCCTTCCTTCAGTTAGGCTGCAAAGCAGGCAGAACAAGGTATTGTCTGTTTAGTGTTTTCTTTTAAACACACCCTGCTACACAGTCTGGGATCTTCTGAAGTCAGCTGCCCCTCCACGCTGATCAATTTTGCTGTGCAGGGACTCTGCCTGCCTCACACCGCAGGGAAGTCTAAGTCTCTGTTCCTCTCTTGAGCGGGACAGGAAGGGTCTCCATGGTTCCTGCTTCAAACCAAACCCTCCTGTCTGACCTCTTTGGGCCCCTTCCTTGTCCACAGACAGTATTGGTGCTCTTTAACTAGGGGAAACTGTAGAAAAGCCCCCAGAGCCTGAATGAAACCAAATCCCTCTTACACCCCTCAGCCCTCCCTGCCTCTCTCGCTGTTCTTTCTTCTGCTCTCACCTCTGCTTTCAGCTCTTCCCAATGTAGCATCATTTGCTGATGCAATTAATTGGAAGCAATAATTGCTTCCAAATCATTAATAAAGCAAGTAATTAACAGCAGGCCTGACAATGAACCTAGCAATGCCACACTGTGTACTTTTCCTCCTCTTCAGCATCCACCCCTTCCTTAGGATCTCGGCTGGCTTTCCATCCATTCGACAACTTGCATGCCCCAGTCAATTTGAAATATTCCTCACCCCCCAGTATTTCTATTTTATGGTGCAGCTGTAGCTTTTGCTAATTGTTCATTTAATGACTGTCCTTTTTTTTCTTAAAGCAATATTTTTCTTGAGAAGTTGAATTTAAAAGGGGCCATAAATGACTAATAGTAATTAATAAAAATGAAGAAATAATTGGACAATGTCTTTAAATGTATATGCCTTGGGTCAAATTCCTAAATCCCTGTTGCTGTTAGATCAGCTTGGGGTTTTATTCTCCCCTGAAGGAGCAGCAGTGCCCAAGACTGTCAGGGAATACTCCAAGTGATGGAATAACTCTCCAACAACCCCAGGAAGCTGAGGGCTGGGGGTATGTGGTGGACCATGCTGGCAGCACGTAGCTTACTGCTGCTCTCCTCCCTTGCTGACAGGAGAACTGGCTGTGCCAGGGCAAGAGGGGCTTCGGGGACCTGGTGGACAACTTGATCCTCTTGAAAACCACCACCTTTAACCCGTGGAGAGCCCTGCCACTTCCACAAGACTGTTAGAAAGGGATTACACATTTGAGGGCAAGATAGTTACATTAAAATAGAAAAGCAGCAATAAAAGGCTTTTGTGGTTCAGAGCATAAATCAGCCTTTTACTGCTTCCCTTTGCAGGGAGCGCAGCCGCAAGCGCCTGACTCGGGGATTTTTTATATCTAGTGGTGAAATATCTGGGGGACAGCAGTGCCAGGGAGCAGGCACAGGACCCTGTGCCTGAGTCAGCACTGCCCAGCCAAGGATGCTGCAGCATCCTGCTGGCTTCAGGAGGGAGCCTGAGTGTGACGGCATGGAGTCAGGGATGTGATCCCGTTGTGCAAAGCAGGACTTGGAAGTGCACAGAGATGGTTTTGAGGGCCACTTCACCCCTGCTCCCCTCTCCTGATGATATTTAACTGCTGGTGGTTCTCCTTTGCCAGTCTAGACTAGCTGAAACTCAGATCCATTGCCCCAGCTCATTACAAGGTCACATTTTACAAAGTAGCACAGCCACCCTAACCAAAAGTGTGCTGGCTAATTGCCTGCGGTGTGAAATTAGGTTTATGGTTTCTGTGGGATCAAGTGTGGCTTCCTCCTCTCCTCCACAACCTCCTTGGTTGTGTTCCCAGTTGCCGATGAGCATTTGATGCGCAGAAAATACCTCAGTTTGCAGCTGAAACACACATTCCAAAGCCCTGGCTTTGCTTACACCCAGGATGGTGCAGAGGCAGGAGGACTGGAGGAGCTGGGACGTAGCAGAGCAGAAAATGCCACGTGGGGCTGAACCTCAGCAGGCAGTTTGGGAGTTGTCAGGCAGGGTAGGTATGAATGCCCTACAGGTAGGGCATTAGGTCAACATGTCACTTGGTTTCCACTG